GGTGCTGCTGGTGGGGGTGAAGTGGATGGTCTCCAGAGATCCCTTCGCGATGTGCTGCTGCCCCTCCTTCTCGCACGCCTCCCGCCGCCCAGCCGCATGGCCCTCTACGACGCATATCATGCTGTCCAGACCCCACAACCGGTCGCTGCGTGGCTGCACCATCCTGAGCGCTGTCAGGTTGGGTAGCCGCTTGCCCAGCTGGAAGGCCTCCTCAGGCGTCATACTCTCCCAGCACTGACGGTCGGCCTGGGTGGAAGAGTCGACAGCGATGAGGGTCTGCTGGTGAAGGGCTGCCGTGTGGATGAGGGAGAATTGCCGACTACTTTTCGCATCTGCCTCACACGGCTCATCTCGCCCTCAGCGTCAAGCAGAAAAGCGAGCTTGTTGCCGATCGCCAGTTTTGGTTGACTTCCCAGCTCAGCAGAGATGTCTGGGTGAGATGTCTGGGTGAGATGTCTGGGCTTCAGCAACCGCCCATTGGCGGCATTCCTCAACCGCCAATTTATGAGTTGCTGACAGCGGCTCACCATGGCGGCCTCACCAGCTGCCGGCAGACACATCATCACTCCGATTGGCGGGTGGTCCGGACAGGTAAGAAGCTGCAGGAGGAGTCTATCGATTCATCTCATCTGCGTGGCTCTTTCTCCCTGCCTGTCAGCCTCCGACGCCTCACTGCTGAGGGCGATGGACCTGCCGAGTGCCATTGATCGCAACCTCCTCTCGCGCCACGGAGCCCTGTGCGCATTGGACAGACAGATTGTGGGCCCGCTGGAGGAGCTCGAGGCCGAGCAGAAGCGCATCGACGCATCGTACGACGTCCACGAGCTGCTGAGTCTTTATGGTGCATCTGACGGCTCGGCCGCCTCTGGCGACGACCAGCTGGACCTCAACGTGGGCGGCCGGCCGTTCACTGTCCGTCGCAAGCACCTCACCCGTGCGGCGGGCTCGGTGATGGCATCGCTATTCGGAGGCAGGTGGGACCACCGCTTACCGACGGACGACGACAACCGATTCTTCATTGATGCGGACCCGCGGGCCTTCGAGAGGATGCTTAGCGAGATGCGTTGGGTGGAGGGGGAGGAGGGAGTGGATCTGTTGAAGAGCAAGGCACAAGCCGGACTCTTTACAGGTGAGCCGAGGCCAGCCACCACATCCACTCACTGCAGTACCTTGGTGGATCCACTGCTCCTGTGGTGTTGTGTGTGAGTGAGCAGGTGGTGTGTGCGACTGGATTCGCTTCTGGCTCTCACCCCCTGCAGCAGCAGACGGCGAGGCGGCTGACGGCCACACAGACGTCGACCCACCCTCACATCACACGGCGGCAGCATTTTACGGCGAGCCGGCACCTCCCCAGCTGGAGGCCGTGCAGCTGCCGGAGCAGCTCAAGGGCCTCATGAGCGTCATGCAAAGGATCGCTCAGACCTTCGCTGCGAGGTTAGCTGAGCTGGAGAGTGAGCGGGCGGCGAAGAAGGCCCGATACGCACAAATGATCCGCGAAATCAAGGTGAGAGGGGAGGAGGGGAAGGAAGGGCAAAGGAAAAAGATCGGTGGGTCGATGGACTGACTGCTTCTCTCTATGGTGTTGTGTGTCTAAGGCGGTCGCTCCCTTCCTGCGGCCGCTGAGTGGCGATGAGTCCGTTCGCTCCATCCGAGTGTCGACGGGCGACGGGCGGCCCGATGTGGTCATTAGCACCACTCAGTCGACTCTTCAGGAGACCACCAGCAGTCTGCGAAACCGATTCGACTCGTAAGTGCACAGCCGTTTTTGCATACACAACAAAGATGGATGGATGGATTGGATTGTGTGTGTGGGTTGTCGTGGGCCTGCAGGTACAGTGCTCCAGTTGTGTGTGTTTCTGCCGACCACTTCAGCGAGTAAGACACACTCCAACCGAACAGCACAGACCAGCCATGTACTGCCGCACACCTCCCTCGCTGCCGTCTTGCGTTGCATTCATAGGATCGTCGACTACGCGCGTCGCCGCCGCATCCTGCCTGAGGGCACCCCAGTGGCCCAGCCGACGACCACGAGTGACAAGATGGACCAGCTGCTGCTCGAGTGCGACATGTACGGCCTGCTGAGCGACGTCTACCCCCCGATACTCACCGATGACGACATGCACAACCTCGCCAAGGCGATCACCTACAATCAACCAGCCCACCTACATCGCCTCTTCACGTGGGTGAACCAAGCCGACAGACGTCGACTCGTTCCCCCTCCTCGCCCTTCCAGCCCCCCACACCCAAGCACAAAGCGACTGAGCAGCCCTTAGCTGACCGTCTGCTGCTCTCTCACCCCAGCTGTGTGTCGACGGCCGACCAGACGCCGCGCGAGGAGCGCCTGCCGGGCCCATCGGCAGGCAGCAAGTTGGGCAGAGGCAGGCGGCTGGGCCTCTCGGCTGCTGCACCATCCTTGCTGCCTCGGCCGGTCCCTCACCCTCCCTGTCTGCCGTCGGCTGAGGAGCTGTGCGAGTCGGGCAAGCGGCGATCGTTTGTGTCGTCGAGTCCCTCTCACCCGCCCCCACCCCCTCGGCCTCTCCCACCTGCACACAGACCGGCGAGCGGTGCCGATGATCCATTCCCACCTCTAGCACATGAGCCACAGCAGCTGTAGGCAGACAGACACAGAGAAGGGGATCGATGGTTGGGCACAATGAATGGTGTTGGTGTGTGTTGTCGTCTCTCTTTGTGTCAGTGACGGCTCGTTTCCCTCCTCGTCGAGTGGGCATCGTCCGTCGTGTCACCGGGGCCCTCCGCCACTCGTCAACTATCCCAAGTAAGGCACTGACAGGCCGACATGAGGCCACCTCACAAGCACACTGGTGGGTTGCTGTTGCGCATGGATTTTCTCAGGTCACTTGGTCCCTCGCCATCCTAAGGGCCGAGGTATGCCCACAAGAGCTGTCGACCAACGCAGGACAGCCTCCAACGAACTGCCATATGTCTGTTCTGCATTGTGTCAGGTCCGCATTTGACGCCTGTCCGTCCTCCAGTAGCTACGACCATCCCACTGCTGCACCAGCAGCTCCAGTAGCCGCCGCCGCATTCGCAACACCATCAGCACCATACGAAGAGCCACTAGGGTAGGCAGGCACACCCACACACTGGCGATGGGCGGCTCGTCACTTCATCGGCTTTATGTGTGTGTGGTCAGGCCATCGCATGATCATGAGGGCGACCAGGGCGCCTCGGCTGCTGGTGGTGGTGGTGATAGGTGGGTGCCATACACCCACGGGCGTTGACGTACGGATGGGACGGATCCGATTCGGATGCCTTGCCGTGTCCTTGTGTGTGTGTGTGCAGTGTGGGAGTGTCGTCACGGGAGGCTGAGCTGCAGCGGAAGAATGATGAGCTGGCCCGGCGGCTCGCAGAGACCGAGCGAGGGTACGCGGGCCCACACACATCCCATTACACACACACGGCGCATGATGCGATGCGATTGATGCACACACACAGGCTTGCCCAGATGAGCATCCAGCAGCACCACCCGCAGCACCAGCCGTCTTCGTCCAGCAGCTCGAGTGCCCCTCTCCCGCTACAGCAGCCTCCCCAGCAGCAGCAGCCCCCGGCAGCGGCCCAGCCAGAGGGAGATGGGCATGAGTGTGCCATCTGCCTCGACGCGCCCCCGTCGGTCATGTACATGCCCTGCAGACACCTGCGGCTGTGTCGCCAGTGCTATGACGACCGCTGCAGCAAGTGGCGGCGGGACCTCCAGCAGGTGCGCGCGGAGAATGCGCGGCGGCGTGAGGAGAATGATGGCATCAAGAGACAGAACGAGGGCCGCAAGAAGAAGATACCACTGGTGGAGCTGCTGGACGAGCCGGAGTATCTGTGCGAGCAGTGCAAGACCAAGGTGGTGTTCGCCGGGTCGCGCGATGAGGTGCGGCAGTGGGCCGATCAGCCCATCACATGACGTCCCTGCCTGCCAGCGTAGATGTGCGAGAGGGCGGGAGGGGACAGGAGGGTGTGTAGCGAACAGGGGGAGGGAGAGAGACAGCTTTACGACTGAGTGGCTCTTCCATGTGGGGACAAGGCGGGAGATGAGTTTATTGTCCGAGTCAACTCGGGCATGAAGATCTCCACCACCGAGCCGCCTCTTGCTTGCAAGCGCGGCCCAGATGAGCGGTACCCTCAGACGGCTGCGCTCGTTCGCCAGAAGGTGGTGGCCGCATAGGGGTCGGCTGGTGGTCGTACACATCCATCCTCACAGAGGGGGAGGGAGGGGGGCTGACTTCAGGTGGGAGGGTACGTATAGTGCCACGAGGGGGTGCTGGTTTAAGTCTCTATTTGTACGCACGTAGTGATTGCGTGTTCCGGGGTGCCTTTGTTCAGGCAGGCAAGGCAGCGGGTGGTGGCACTGGTTATCTGCATGACCTTGATCTAGCTGAGTAGACAGGGTGGGTGGGTGGGTGTATGTCTGTCTGTCTGTTGTGGTATCTGTTCGTTGGTGTGACTTGCTGCGCGTCAATCAATTCTCATTCCATTCATCCAGTCGCTCCATGCCAAAGTGTCGGCAAAAAGTCAACACACACACGCACATCCCAAACCACACACACGGACGACTTAGCCAGCCAGAAAATGGAAGGCAGTCAGCCAGGCAGGCAGGCAGGAGGCGTCGCTCTGGGTGGGTCGAGAACGGAGAGGCGACGCCCAGGCACGGCGAATCGATGGGCAGGCAGGGCGGTCGAGCAGACAAGAAGCAAACACATCCACACATCCACAGATGCATACGATGGAGATCGGTCTTTCATGTCGTCAGACTGCACAAACATCGCACTGATGGATGCAATGGACACACAGATGGATGGATGGATGGATGGATCCATTGCAAAAACTGCCGAGAGGCTACCGTTCGTCTGACTGCCCTCTGCCCCCATGCCCCCTCCCCCTTATGTGTGTGATGTGTGTGAGAGAGACACTCACTTGTCCCCCTCCCCCTCGCCGCCCTTCTCATCCTTGTCGGCCGTGCTATTGCCCACTGGCAGTGGGCGAAGCGCCCCACACGCGGACCTGGCAAAGGGTAGACACACGTGTACAACCGTCCCCTGGTGATGGTCGCGCGGCGTCCGTGTCTGCGTGTGTGGTGTGGTGTGGTGTGGTGTGTGGTTTGTGTGGCGTGCGTGCGTACCCTCAGCGGCGGCCATGGGTTTCTTGGGTGCGGCCTTCAAGATTGGCAGCGCCAACCACGTTCATGTCCAACTTGTACGACGCCTTGATCTGCACACAACACACCAACACACGCCACACCATTATCACCTACCCTCCCCCTGTACCATGATGAGTTTCTTGGCTTCGGTCATCTTATAGAGTGAGCGGCTGAGGTGGTGCTTGGTGCGTGCGTCCTCGACGTCGAGGGAGTACTTGGCCTGGATGAACTTCTTGATGGCGAACAGGCTGCTGCCTGACTGGTCCTTGAGTGTGCCGATGGCCTCCTTGATCATCTCCTCAAACGAAGGGTGCTTCGGGGCAGCACGCGCCTTGCCACCACCAGACTTGGCCTCGCCCTTCCCCTTGGCCTGAATGCACCACACACGATAATGACACAAAAGGGGAGGGTGGAGCATAGGACGGTCATCGTCTGGATCTCCCTCCGTATGGTGTGGTGGTGTGTGGTGTGTGGTGTGCATGGCCATGGAGGGGTGCGGTGTAGTGCTGTGGTGCTGCCTACTTTCGCCTTCGGGGCAGCGCCGGCCTCAGCAACACCTGAAAACGCACACACCCACGCACAGAGCACCCTCGTACGTCGCCATACCCCATGTCTCCCACGCACACGCACTGATGCGGCGCCCCCCATCCAGTCCGTCTGTGTGTCCCCCTCACCCCCCGCCGTGCAGACCGCACTCTCGCCCTCGACGCACTTGGCCTCCACGTACAGCGGATTGGCGTTGAGCACACTCACCTTGTCCCCAACTGCACACAGACCATACACAGCCAGGGACCATTGCAAACACGGCTCGTTGTGGATGATGGGTGTGCCGTGTGTGTGTCCAGCACCCTTGAGCCACGGGATGATGAGCTTCCACTCCCGCTGCCCGTACACACGACCCTCATCAACAGACACTGCAGCAACGACAACACGCAGAAGAGAGGACATTCATCCATCCATCCATCCGCCGGCTGATGTCAGGCTTACTGTATCCGCCGTTGCCATTGCCATTGCCCGTGGCGCCGACGGCAGCCGCTGTTGCCATGGCGAGGGGACCCGACGGCTGCTGCTGCTGAGAGGTCGTGGCGGACTCGCTTGTGTCCACAGATGGATGCCTTGGCTGCAACACATACAACGTTCGGCTTTTCCATGGTTACCGTCGACCCATCTGCGCATTGATACCTTCGGGCTGGGGCTGCGCCATTGCGAACCTTGAAACGTCAAAAAGTCGCCTCAAAGGACCGACGGCTGGGTCGCTTCGGCCAGGGTCGCTCGCGTCGGTTTTTCGCCGTCACTTTCAGATTCTGTCGGTCCGGATTGCCTGCTCGTGTGCTGCCTGTCTCAGATCTTTTGAAACGGGGTCCTTTATTGACTTTTCTGTACGTACATCGAAAAGCTCGCAGACGAGGGAAAAGAGAGCGTGTTTGTGTGTGACTGGGCGATCTGCACTGGCTGGCCACCTGGGGATGGGCGGTATCTACGTATGGAGTCATGGTGCCTGACGCACGCACGCACGCCGCCTTCAAGCTGCTGCTGGGGTGGCGTGTGTGCGACGCTGTGTGCCTGCTTGTATGTGGCCGTCGTTCGCAGCGCATTGCATATCCTCCTCTCTGCTGCATCTGCCCTCTGCGTGCTGCGTGTTGCGTGTCCGGGTTGCATGTTAGGGTGCCTGTTTCATGTTGGACAGACCGACAGGGGACTTGGCCGTCAGGCCACCTAGGGTGCTCCCTGAAACCGCTGCGAGGGAAAAGAGAGGAAGGGGAGGAGGGGAAGGAAAGATGAGGAAGGGAAGGACTCACTGAGGTCACGTCCATCCCTCCGCCCATCCGTTTGGCTATCGCTCTGACATTTTCTCTTAGGCGTTTTCTGCCTTTGTCTTTCCTCTTGATTGACTGTGTATTTTGCTTGATAGGCTTTAAGGTAACGGAAAGCGACCTTGATTGTTTCCGCAGTTTGCTTCCTCGTGTCGTTGTCGCATTCCGTTTGCTCGTATCGTTGCCGTATTCCGCGAGACTAATCCCGCTGCGGCAGGCCGTCTGAGTGCATTACATGTGATTTTTTGAATGCTGAGCGCATCCGCCCCATCGGTACGTCCAGTACCAACCAGGATGAATAGATATCGCCATGGTATGCACCCTCGTGCTTCGCCCTCGGGTGGGCTGTGCGTTGACCCCAGTGGAGATGAATGAGGACTCAGCGGCGAGAGTGATCCAACGGTCGGCGAGAGCGTCTCTGTGGCGGCGACGAGATCAAGGACTCAGGACGGGAGACGACTCTGATGCAGACGGCGAGGCTCCGGCAGCGCAGCCAGCACCAGAGGCG